ATCTCCACTCATTACAACCTCGGCCTCCCGAGTTCAAGCAATTCTCCTGCCTCAGCCTCCTGAGTAGCTGGGATTACAGGCGCCTGCCACCATGCCTGGCCAATTTTTGTATTTTTAGTAGAGACGGGGTTTCACCATGTTGACCACGATGGTCTCGATCTCTTGACCTTGTGATCTGCCTGCCTCAGCCTCCCAAAGTGCTGGGATTACAGGTGTGAGCCACCACGCCTGGCCCGAACTACTTTCTTTCTCAAAACCTCCTATTTTGTTGTTACTCCTTTGATATTTTGTTAATGCTTCCTATGAGTAAGAACTTAACAAACAGCTCTCTTCAGGCAATGCAGGAGATCACCTTCAGGTTTCTCTTGGTACTCTGAGGGCTGGTTAGTTAACCTCTCCTGGTTCCAGGTGCCAACTCTGGCCGGGCTGCCTATTCACAGTGTAGAGAGTGTGTGTTAATGCAACCATGCAAACAATCCCTGCAGCAACCATGAGCCTCCAATGGATCTGCAGGGTTAAAACCATTTTCATAATAATGTGAATATATTATTTGTGCCTTTCAATGTTTTGACATCTGCACTGATAGTATAAAAGTGAAGGTGAGTAAAACTGTTGCTACCTTAGCATGAATCAAGTCATTGCCATGGAACCATACTAGCCAACCTTGCGTTCCTCACGACCATGCACTCAACAGTTGAAATAAAAGGGCCAGTTTGGCAGTCTTCCTCTTTTTTTTTGAACAGAGTTTTGATCTTGTTGCCCAGGCTGGAGTGCAATGGGACAATCCCGGCTCACTGCAACCTTTGCCTCCTGGATTCAAGCAATTCTCCTGCCTCACCCTTCAAGTAGCTGGGATTACAGGCATGCACCACCATGCCTGGCTAATTTTTTTTGATATTTTTAGTATAGACAGGGTTTCACCATGTTGGTCAGGCTGGTGTCGAACTCCTGACCTCAAGTGATCCAGCTGTCTTGGCCTCCCAAAGTGTTGGGATTACAGTCTTGAGCCACCAAGCCTGGCCCTTAGAGTGTTCTTAATGAAGCATAAACGTGATTAATTTTGGCTGAGCACAATGGCTCATGCTTGTAATCCCAGCATTTTGGGAGGCCAAGATGGGCAGATCACTTAAGCCCAGGTGTTCAAGACAAGCCTGGGCCATGTGGCAAAATCACGTCACAACTAAAAATATAAAAATTAGCTGGGTGTGGTTTCACATGCCTGTGGTCCCAGCTATTCAGAAGGCTGAGGTGGGAGAATCACTTGAACCCAGGAGGCGGAGGCTTTAGTGAGCCAAGATCGTACCACTGCACTCCAGCCTGGGTGACAGAGCAAGACCTTGTCTCAAACAAAACAAAACAAAACAAAACAAAAATAAGGATAACTTTCATCAAATCTTAGCCCTTGAGTATGGTTTTGTTCTAGACTTGTGTGACAATGAAATGCAAAATATGTCTGAAGCACTTAGGCTGCTCACTGCAGTACAATGGTTGTCCCCAGGAAAAGCACCATACAACTGAGTCGGAGGATGAATAGGTGACTTTTTTCTTAGAAGCTCCACTTTTACTTGAGGAAATAAGTCAGGAGAACTGCTTCATCCCCGTGAGCCGATGAGCCTTTGATTCCCTGCTCCTGACGGATTTGCAGCAACATGCTCTAGTACCTTCATGATGTTTAATTAATGAGTTTTAATACACAGTGGGTCAGAGTTGCCTGCTATGTACTTCACCATAGTTACACAGGGAGAAAGTTACTATCAAACTCCAAGAGAGTCACCTAAATAGCTAGCTGAGTGCTAACATTTTGGTTTTTTTTTTTTTTCTGGTAGGGAAGAATGGACAGTTCTCCCCGCTAACGTGGTGCCTATAGATCTTTTGTGGAATGTTCACTGCAAATATACTCACTGTTAGAAACTATGAATAACCAGCCAGTCACTGTGGCTCACGACTGCAATCCCAGTACTTCGGGAGGCCAAGGCAGACAGATTATCTGAGGTCATGAGTTCGAGACCCGCCTGTCCAACATGGCAAAACCCCATCTCTAATAAAAAAAACAAAAATTAGCCAGGCATGGTGGCATATGCCTGTAGTCTCAGCTACTTAGAGGCTGAGACACAAGAATCACTTGGACCCAGGAGGTGGAGGTTGCAGTGAGCAATACCACTGCACTCCAGCCTGGCTGAC